CACGCACACCTGCTTAAGCCAACTAAACACTGGTATGTAAAGCATATTTATGTATATAAAAAACTTTGGCATAACTGGCAGTCATTGGTTGAGATGTTGTCTCCAATTATATAAGAGATGAGAAGTTAAGAGCCAACCATAGGTGTGATCTCATAATGAGTTGAGTGGGCCCTCCCTTCCACTGTTTTATACATTGTGTATGATTTGGTGGATTGTATGGCACTCTGAGACACAACTCTGAGATGTGCCATACATTACCTGGAAGTGGGCGCCCCTCACATCCCAAAGAAAAGTTGGCTTTCATTATTGCTTTACACTTTATTGTCACTGATTTTTCAAATAATTACATTTATTATTAATGATCACTTATTATTAAATATATTTACAAACTTAACCACCAGATCATAAGTGCCCGTTCAGAAATAAATATTATGAGTGCCGGTGTGTTAACTGTGCCCGACTTAAGTGGAGGTCTGACCTGGAAAAGGAAATCAAAAACTGTCGGCCCTGTGTGACCAATGGTTAGACTTGTGTCACATTTGGTGTTTTGATTACTTTAATTGATTCATATTTAGTTGGCATTGAACTGAGTCTACCCGACCACCATCTACCCGACCACCAGAATGTGTGCGAGAAATGCAAGAGTCATAATATAGTCTCACCATTTGCAGAGGGTTTGCATTTTTAAATACTTTTTATTAAATCTATTAAATCATTTATATCCGGTAATAATATATACTAATTATTCATTATTAAGTACTGTAATTAGTATATCACTATCATATTAAATTTTTAAATACATAATTGAAAATTAATTATATGCAGCATACATTGGACTGCTTTCAAAGCAAGTGCGCTTGTGGCGCAACCCTGGTAGATTTTTATTGTAAACTCAAACATTAGAAAACTTTTTTGACTGTAAATCTTACAATAAAATCAACTCTTATATTGGATAAGCTTTTGTTTTGATTTATTTGTTAAAATGTTTTAATTAAATAAATATTAATAACAATGGACTGCATTATAGACTACGAGTCCTATCAGTCGCTGAAGCAGTCGTACGATCAACTCGTGGACAGCAATCAGCTCTTGGAGTCTGAGAACGAGTCCCTCACGAGTAGTAATCGACTGCTGAAGAGACTTCTGGAGACATTGGAGACCATTAAGACATCGTTGGAGCAAAAGGTCCTCATAATGACCACTCGGTTGAACAGCATTCGCAGCGAACAATTGGTACCATTGGACCGGGACTTAAGGCGTATGGACGGGGATTACTGTCACCTCAAGTGTCTCCTGAATCGCGTGGAGTTCGACGAAAAGGTGGACGTCAAAGACGTGGACACGAGTCACGCCATTATGGCCGTCGACGCCATGATCACCAGCGATGACCAATTGGGTGATCAGCACAACCAGTCGTCGGTCGACGACCATAGCGCTGCCGTCGACGACACCAACGATGACGATATCAGTGCCGCCGATGACGACAACAATACGGACAGCGCTATGGATCAGACGCTGAGCGGTGCGTCCACTGATGGCATATATGTGTTGAGGCCGTCGCCTCCCGGCGCCGCCAACGATGAGCTCAATATCGGTTCCTATAGTTACAGTGTCTTAGCGACCGCTGAAGACTTGGGTGGCGTTCGGCGGCAGAGGAATAAGAGATCCAAAGGTGTAGTAAGATTTTGTGTTGATTTTGAGCCAATTATCTCTTAGTTTAGTTGTCGTTATCTGTTTGCCAACAAGTGGTAAACCAGTGATCGTTGTGTTTAAAACTTATTTAACGCGTTTTCTTAACCATAGATACGACATCTGCAGCGGACGTGACCCCTAGCGTGAAGCGGTTCCGGGGTCCGTGGAATAGCTGCGAATACGCGACCGACAGTTCCGGCAATTTTCAGAAACACTATCGCATTCACACGGGAGAGAAGCCCTACCGGTGCGACTTCGAGGCCTGCCTATACAGGTGTGTATCGATTGGTGGTAACTCATGAGTGTGTTTTTATGGGTGTATGTCTTGACTGATGCAACAGTTGTTCAGATCCGGGAAGCATTAAAGAGCACAAACGCATCCACAGCACTGAGAAGCAGTTCCGGTGCGAGTGGGAGGGCGCCGCCAACGATGAGCTCAATACCGGTTCCTATTGTAAAAGTATCTTAGCGGCCAGTTCTTCAAATGGCGGTCAAAGAGTAGACGAGAACTGGATCTACTCATGTCTTTCAACTCTGTATCTACAGTTGGATCAGTTCGAGTCGGAGTCGTTTGAGTTACTTTTGGCGCAGAAAAAGAGCANAGTCTAATCAATGATCGCATCGTTTATGATTATATATGAATATTCAGTCATTCAATGTCTCACTCTTTCTCTCTGTTTATTGTAATTAAAAAATTAATGTTTGTTTTATTCGTCCCTTTATTTTATTTGAAACTTTCATTCAATAACTTTTTATTTAATTAATGCTCTATTTATATATTACTGTTTATTGTTTCGTATTATTTGATTGTATTTATCCATTGGTTTGCAATCAATTCATTAAATTATTGTTTTTTCTTCAATGTATGTCTTATATATAAAATATTTTTATGAAATGAGAGATAATGTGATGTGAAATAGTATGAAATGCTAATAAATGTCTAATTTTTAGATTAATTTTTACAAAATTTTTGATTCAATTAAACTAATGAGTTATAACTCATAAGTGAATATACAGTGAATTGGATTAAATGATATCAATATATTTGGGAGTTTACTAAACATATCATTTTAAAATAATACCGGTATATCATAAAGTTTATTACTGTATATACTGTACTTCCTGTAAATATAAGTTTAGTTTAGTTTAAACGAGTCGAGTAAAGAACTTTAAGTAGGATACTTTTTTTTATAATTACTGTATTATACATTTAAGTTTTAATAATCTAAAAATTAACTTATTACTAATTTAATACTTGTATTACAATTACAATCTATAGTTATGTAAGTGTATACAATGTATAGAATCATATAAAATGTTTTAAATTAATTTTAAAAATATTTATTGAAAGCTGGATACAAGTGTGTAGCTAATAGGAACTTATAAATACTGTGGCTAATTAATATCTATTAATTATTTGCTATATATTTTCAATATAAGTAGTTTCACTATAAGAATTTTTAAGTTAAACAAACTTAATAGAAAATATTTTTTGGTAAAAAAGTAAAAAAGACTTTTTTAGTATCAGTAAATTATTGTGTACATAAATTTGTGAATACTTTGTATAAATAGAGAAAATAATATCTGTATTTGAGAATTGATATTAAATAATGTAAAATGCAGTAAAACCTAACTAATTTATATACATAATAAATATCTTAGATGTAATAAAACAACAATAAAAGCATTCACCTTGTTGTATTTGTTTGTAAAGTTTAAACAGTAAGACATTTGAATCCTATAATTCATAAAAACATTTATAGCAAATAATTATACATTAGTTTGTGTCTGCATTCATAAAATATAGACTTTTATCAAATATTAGTCTTTGTCTGAGAGGACAGACAACTAATAAAAGAGTCTGTATTTTGTTGGTGTGACTCAAATACTTTCGCATATACTTGAGAACTGAAAAACTATTCAATAGTCTTACATAACATGAAAGATAGAAAAAAGAGTTTTGGATATATTCTCTCTCTCTCTCTCTCTCTCTCTCAACCAATGACTGCCAGTTATGCCAAAGTT